TTTACAACTCTGCAAATGAATCGTTATGCGACATTACGAGCGTGTTAATCATTCCACTTTGGCAACTCGTTGGTATTTCGCGAATTAAAGTTACCTTTGCTCGCGTTAAGGGTTACAATGGTTAAATAACACGTAACAAATTTATTTATATTAAAATAACAAATTTTATAAAATAAATTTATTTATAATACAATAACAGAACTATTTATGATAAAATGTTAAATAAATGTATTCACAATAAACAAATTTATTTATTGAGAAAAATAACAAACAGTAAATACAATTCTATTATAAATACAATAGAACAATATTACAAATTCTTAAGAGTACTTGAAAATAAAACAAGGAATTACAATTAGTACAAGCAAAAAATGTCCTCTACAATTTCAACGAAAAGAGAAATAATGCATCTATGCTTCATAAAATACAACAAATACATAGTGTACCATTTTATGTAGCATAAAACTTATTTATTTATTTAACCATTTTATGCAGCATAACACAAGGACAAAAATAACAGCTAATTACATTACTATATCAACTTATTATTAATACAATAATTATAATATATAGCAACGATTAACTAAAGGAAAAGAAACATTATCAACTACATAACTATTAACTAATAACTACTATTAATACGATAACGATGATATACAGCAACTATTAACTCAAAGCAAAGAAATAGTACCAACTACATAACTATTAACTATTAACTACTTAAACAAGTATATGTTTCTCCACATTAATATACCACCCATATCTCAATAAAGATTCACTTAAAAAGTACCTACTTTAAATTGCATTAAACCTAAAGACATAAGTCACCCGCCAAAAAACTAAACGTTCCAAAGTTCCATTTTCAAAAGTGTCTTCTAAAAACTTAAGGTGTTAGATTTAACACTAAACCTACCTGCATATAGCGTATACTTCATTCGAAATTAAAAATGAAGTTAAAAAATAAATAAACAAATGACGAAACATAAAATAGAACATACATTTATTCTTCATATGGATGAAAATCAATGTAGATTTTAAGAAATGTATTTTAAGAAAATGTGTATCTTATAATCAAAAACTTATGCAGCGGTCATTTAACTGGTTTGGTACTTTTAGTGTTAAAGAAGTAAAGAGTTTATGCTCCCCTTTTTATTCCAAATATTTAATATTACAATATTGTCGTAAACATTGTATATTACACTTAACGTACATAATCCTCCCCTATCCTCACAAAACTCCTCAGTCACACATTTTTAATGAAAAGTACAAACGAGCCAAACAAACCTGACCCTCCAAAATCACATGTTGTCCCAAGAGCGATCGCAGAATAAAACCTTTACAGAATAAATAAATATAATTTAATAACAAACGACACAAGGTATAAAAAAAGGTAAAACGACAGAAAGAAATTTGTGAAAGCTACGTGGCTAGGGGTAAAAGATTAAGCCTGGTGATTCCGGGTCAGGCTTAGCCCGCCATGTTTTGTCCATTTACGGTGGTCCCGTGCGCGTCCAGGGACGCTTTCAAACCGCATTTAAACAATATTAATTTTATTGCATGGTAATTCGCAACCGTCGGTTCTGCTGTACTTTCTATCCTTCGTCCACGGTTCCGGCAGGTAAAGCTTGAAAATTTTACAACCGATTTTGCCTGAACTCTGCAACGCAGAAAAAATGTTTTGTCTCGACCGTTTGTCGCTTCCGACCCGATGTCACTCGACCGTTTTACTGTACTCTTTAAAGGTATTAAGCTGAAAACGAAGCGACTAAGCACACTTTATTCCTAGGACAAAGGCGACCAACGACTCGCCGATAATCCTTTGCGTGAATACATCTAGCGTTCCTTTGATTATCGCTAGCAGTTCTGATGTTTCGCTGACGTGGAATGCTGACGATGATTTTAGGAGAAATTCTTCTGTAATTTGTATTTGAGATTTTGGGGAGAATTGGGTGGGTAGAAATTTGACATTAGATTTGGTGTTTGGAAATTAGGGAGAGAGAAATAGTTTTAGAGAGAGGTACTTTTTTGGATGAAGTCGGCAAGTGTTCTTCGGGGAAGTTCTGGAGTAGTTGAGTTTTCATTATCTTTAGGTATCAAGTTTGTAGAACCTTAAATTCTGAAATTCTCAAGTTCTCAAGTTCCTTGAATTGTAGGGTTTTATAATAAGCAAGTTTTTAGATTTCTAGGATTTTATGATAATCAAGTTCTCAGATTTCTAGGATATTATGATAATCAAGTTCTCAAATGTCCAAATTTGCAGGTTCTCATATCCTAAACTTTCAAACTTACGAATCCTGAAATTTCTAACTTCCTAGCTTCCTAAATGACTAATTTCTTAGTTTCACAAGAACATGAATTCCCAAATTCCAAAACTCTTAAATGTCGAAGTGTCCAACTCCTCTAATTCCAGACTTCAAATCCACAAATGCCCTGAATCTCAAGTTCCCAAATTTCTAAACTTTTGAATCCCCAAATTTCCAAATCCCTAAATTTACAAATTCCTACATTTTTAAATCACTAAACTACCCAAATTCCTAAGTTTTCAAATCCCAAAATTCCCAAATTACTAAACCCCCAAATTCCTAAATTACCAAATCCCTAAATTTCCAAATCAGTAAAACCCCAAATTCCTATATTTCCGAATCCCTAAACCCTCCAACCCCCAAAAATTCCCAAATTCCTGAAATTTCAAATCCCTAAGTTTCCAAATCACTAAACCCCTAAATCCCTATATTCCCAAATCCCTAAATTCTCAGATTTCTAAATTTCCAGAATTCTCAAATCCCTAAATTCTCAAATCCCCAAATTCTCAAATCTCTAAATCTGCAAATCCCCAAAATCTCAAATCCCCAAATTTTCAAATCTCCAAATTTGCAAATCCCCAAAATCTGAAACCCCCAAATTTCTAAACCTCCAAAGCTCCAAATTCCCAAATCCCTAAACCCCCAAATCCCTAAACTCCCAAATCCCTAAATTCCCAAATCCTTAAATTCCCAAATACCTAAATTCCTAAATCCCTAAACTCCCAAATCCCTAAATTCCCAAATCCCTAAATTCCCAAATATCTAAGATTCCATACTCCCCAATACCCAAATCCCCAAATCCCCAAATTCTCAATATTCCAAAATTCCACCCCCATCAAAACCCCTACCATTTCCAACTTCCCAAATCCCAAAAGTTTATTAATTATAAACCCCAACAATTATTCAAATAAACTCCAATAAATCCCCAACAAAAATAAAAGGTCCACACAAGTACAAAGGATTAATGTCCTCCGACAAGTTCTCGCAGCTAGGTTTTGATACAAAGCTAGCAATAAGACTGTCCCCCTTGATTTATATCGACATTTTATATTTCCAGTTTGATTATAAACGCACATGGAACGCAAGATCATTGGAGGTTCTACCATTTGGCTCCGCCTATAGGGACACAGATGTTAGGTCACCTTTTGAGACTTTATAAAGGAGGTACGAGTGCAGCTCTATAGGAATTTCTAATGGGCAGTCCTAAATCGAAGGCATACCCCGAACAACCGGTTCGACCACTCTGCAACAAAAACAGCCTCTGTATCAGAACGTGAGAATAAATGGAAATTAAAAATGGTAGCGGATGTTGGATAATAAGTAGGGCTGTTACTTACTGTTGAATCTATTGCGAATGTTTGCAGTAAGGTTGCGATAGAACATTGTATTATCGTTGAGTGTTTAACCCAGAATGGTACGGGTATTGTGCAAGAGAGATTTTTGTGGTTTTTAGTTTCGGGTAGGAGCGCGAGTTTGAATTTGGCGCCAGTAGCGGCATCTGGTGACGGTGGTCAAGTTTAAATGCATAGCGTTGTAAATTTTGTAATAACTGTAGTATAAATTGTTTAATAATTACATTTCTGCATTTAGAAGAATTTTAAATTTCAAAATTATAACATATTTAACTCTTTTTAATTTTTAATTACACTAATTTTCAAGCTTGAGAACATGACAGTTGTCTAACTTCCGGAAGCTTAGATTTGTGAATTGCGGCGTAACTTCAAAAAACCGGCATGCTTCGATATCGACTAAATTTTGCAAGTAAGCTGTTTTTTGTAAAAAAAGATATTCGTAAGAATTGTTTTTGGCGATATACACGAAAATTTTTAACCTCATGTCATTCCCTATATCATCGACGAGATACAGTGTAGCGTACGAATTGTTCTAAACACATAATCCACTTGTTCGGGCCTATAGAGTATATTACACACACCATATAAGTAATATTAATAAATATATAATAAGTATATAGCATATTAATCAATAAAATCGGTGTTAATTGCATTTTTTTAAAAATGGAACAAGTGGCGCCATCTCTCCGGCGAACAGGTGAACTACGCACTTTTGAAACTCTACTTTAATTAGTTCCTGTCTTCTACCACAAGATGGCGGTGCATAAGACAGAAGCCGGAAGTTATGGTTATCCTAAGAGTGGTTAAAAATTGATAATAGTTTGGTGAAGCCAAAATAATTCGAAGTGAATTGGTTTTGTACTATGATGTAATATAATTCATATTATAGTCAATTGAACTAATAAAATTAGCTATATTGATTGAATTGAACCGGAAAAAATACTCATGGTGCCATCTAGTGGTAGTATGTCAGAACTAATGAAAGTGCAGTTTCAAAAGTGCGTAGTTCACCCTGTTCGTTGAAGAGATGGCGCCACCATTTTCAAAAAAATGTTATTTTGCAGTAAGTAAATTGATTTTGTTCTTTAAATTTTAGAAAATTGATTCTAAAAGCTAAAATCGTCTTGCTGAGACATAAACTGAGTAGTAAAACAACTTTTATAAATTAGGTATGTACCAAAATATTATTGTAGACCATAAAGACCTATCCTAGTCTGCCATTTTCCCTATAGAATCCAAACGCAAACTTGAATATACAGGAGTAAACATTAAACAGAAGTAAATCATTAGAACTTAGATAAATTTTGTAGTGGATCGATGGAGATTTATTAAAAAAACATTTATGCAAATATAACACTTTTTTATTTTACAAACGTAGGACGAACAACGCAGTTCATTACAAAAATAAGATTACAAAATATAATATTTCACTTAAATGTATTGCATAATTATTGCGCGTATAAACGATAATAAATCTGTTTAATCGTTACAAAATGTGTATTGAATCTGCCAGTATTGCAGATAAACCCCCCGTCTTTTTGTTCTTAATTTTTAGTAACTATTAGACTACGTTTCACACCTTGTTCGTTACGAAACCATTACATAAATCTTACGTTACAATTAGCAACAAATGCTTCCTTCAAATATTCAAATATTTGATTTTTGAATATAACAAGATTTACATCCTTCGATATGGCTAAATATTCCATTCACAGAATAATTATTCCTTCTTTAATTCATAACAAAAAATTTCTCTACTATCAACAACATCTTCATTACTTTTAATGCTGCCTAATTACATTTACCTTTTTCCTTTTTTTATTTATATACAACTAAACGAGAAGTAAAGGAAAAGGATATTAATTGTAATAGCATAACAATATTAAATCGAAGTATTTTTTTAACGCTATAATATATCTTTAAATAACATGAAAAGAAAGAGCTGATTATTCAGATAGAAATAGATAACGATATAATTCCAAATTTCGAAAAAAAGACGTAATTATCAAATTACAAAAATACTTTCAACGGTATACAATATCTTATTTATAACAAATAACTGTATGTACGTATAAAAGTGTAATATTCATTTAGCGAAGAAATCATTCTTTCTCTCGTTAAAGACCGACAAATCCTCTCGTCGTTTAATAGGGAAACAGAGAGCAAATATCAGATCCTACAGATTCCGATTTCCTACATACAAACGCAGCAATTTTGTTATTTTGTCAAAAGTATAAAACGTTGCTTAAAATCATGTTATTTTTTAACGACCCTCGCATACGATATATATTAATATACTTAGACGAAATTCTGATAAGTTGTTCGCGGAAGAATGCTCAGGCCTACGCGTAACATTAAAATTCATAAGATAGAAAAGGGAGAACAAGAGAAAATAATATTGAGAATATGTACCTTTGAACGGTTTCCAATATTCCACCTCAAGTGTTTTGTTCATATTTTTAGAGTTACATGGAACTTTATGTATACAGTCATCTTATTATGGCGAATTTAAACTCTTTCCTGCTAATGCAGCTGCCTTAGAGAGCACTATTTGAATATCCATTGAAGGAAAATTCTAAAATAAAATCAATTTATAAAGAATCGTGTTAAAGACTTTTATTAATTTTATAAAACATATGCTTACTTGTAAAAGTTTGACGTTTGTAGCAAAATCACCGGCGAGTAGTTGGTCCCGCAATAGCCTAAACAATTTTACATAAATTTTGTTTAAAAAATTAATAAATTACTGTTTTCCAATAATAAAATTTCATCATACTTACAAAATCATGGCACAACAAATGTGTATCAAGAAACTGAATCTGTTTTCATCCGCGAACAGAGAATCCCAAATCCTCATGACATCCGGCAAAGGGAATTCTTGCGAAAGTAGAAGCGTCAGCCATCTGGTGGAAATTTTTCATTTATACTCTTTGACTTCATCAAGAAAACATATGTATTAGATTATAAGTTGAATACTTAATCAAAACGCCAATATAATCCAAACTTAGCTAAACTTGAATTAAATCTATATTTTTAAGGTTATGTGCTTTTTATATTAAGGTACCTGAAGCTGTAATATTGGGGACACAGTTCTTGCTGATGTAGTCGCAACCAAACTTCGGGATCATTAGCTTTGACTTGAGTTGTGAGCTTACTCATCATTGAATTTATTCCAAATTCAGCTTCATCCAAGGATTTAATGAAAAAGTCGCGTATTTCACTCATCAGATTCGTGAAACAGAAAAAAGTATCTGCTTCTGCATGTTCTGTATGCAATATGGGATTGAATTATGAATACGTTTAAAAGAATCATGCTCTTTAATGACGTATGTACACAATTTACCTCTCCATTTCTGATCTGGATCACAAGCAAAAGCATGATAAATAGGACCAACGATTTCATTCATTCCTTGTACGTAACCCTGCCCCGGATTTAATTTAGCATAAAGAAAAAGTATTCTTTCTAAAACCTCCCAATGCGCTTCACCGCCTTCTGCAAGCGGCGCATAATCTTCTGCAGCTTTCCTAATAGAAACTGCTATCTGCAAAGGGATAAAATGATTATTTAAAAGGTTTAAAACGGCTTATTCAAATAATTAAACGGCGTTACCTGCTACTTTCCATCGGCATAACAATGTAAGGGATTAAATTAGTTGTGTCTTTCTCTTACATTATACCTATATTTATTTACCTTAGTTACACCAAGTCCTTTTCTTTCTACATTTGCGCTTCTTAACACTGTATGCTGCACTCTGTGATGCAAACGTTTCTGTCCACAGGCATTTACAATTTCTTTACAAGGGTAGTCAGTACCTTGTTGGAAGAATGATATATCTGGACATAGTCTCCTATAAGTAAATTTATTTTATAATTTTAATAACACCATGCATAATATAAAATTTACCTAACATCTTTGTCTATCTGCAGAAGAACTTCATTGTCCTTAAAATATGTTTGCCACTTGCTATCAGGATTTAAATTTAAAGGGTGATCATGGAGGGTAACATCCACCCTCTCTCCATCTGCATTAGCTTCACCCGGAGTGACAATCAGATCCTCTAGAAATGTAGAATAACATTATCATATAATCTTTATGTTTATCCTAGAAATATTTCAAGTATAATTTACCAATGAAAGTTTTATAAAGTATTCTTTTGCGCGTTAAAGTTTCTGACCAACTAGCCCTTGTTGGAGGTAAGTAATTTAACAAAAGTTTCCAACATAATGGTCTTAAACTTCCTTCATCTGGTATCCCTAGAAACATAAATAAAAATTATAAGATCAAATCATTCAATTGATGTTCAGTTAATCTTAAAACTTTAAAATAAGGTATATAAGGTTAAATAAGGTGCATCTTTCAAAAACTTGACTGAGTTAAAAAATTACATTATCGGCTCAGAAAATTTGAGTTGCTTGCTAACTAAATTTCAATGAAATCCTATGTCACGCATCATTTCTTTTTCATGCTAAAAGATGAAAATATATATAGGGCCAATCACTTTTAATCTTTATAAAAACTAGTGAGAGAATAAAAGAGGTGTTTAATGATGCCTCAGTTGCATATCAGAAAACAGAGAAAATAATATGTGGTTTTTAAGATTATGTCAGCACAAAGTTGCAAGATTCATGGCCACACAAAGAGTATGAACTATACAGCATTTGATGTAATGGACAAAGGAGATTAAAATACACGTGTGAAAATACTTACCATGGAAGCACAATCGTTTGAGACTAACGAGATCTATCTCTTCGGCGTTCAAAACATCGTCGAAATCGTTTAATCTGAAACAGCGAATTTCTTGAGTGAAAAATTATCGCGTTACCGAACCGCAGAAAATTGTTACCTTTTTCGTAAAATACTCATTGTAAGCGTGCTGGGCACATGCAGTGCTTAACGAAAAATTCACAATGTTCTTATCGGCATTCGATAGACGTGTGGGCGTACAGCGATGCCCGTTTCTCACATTATTGTCAGCGGCCTGTTAGATTGACAGACGAACTAACCGCCATCATTACTCTCTCGCACATTGATTATCTTTTTATACGAAACAATGATTCAAACGTCTTATCTCAGGGTGTGGAGAGATCTTTCTTATCATTGCAATATGGCACTTTATACTCGTGACTGCGAAGCACGCGAGCTATAGTTTCTGCACGAGTTAATTTAATTCTATCCTAACCTCTTTGACGAACAAATGGCTTGGGAAAGAACAAGATTCTCTCTCCTATTGATCTAATTTCGCTCCCATCAGCTTACATTGTATTGAAACAATAGGGAACCACATGCGTTTGACATTAATTCTATATTTTATGAATAGAAAATTATTAGACGGAACTCGTTAAGTTCTATATACAGCGTGTCATATAACTGAGGACACAATCGAGCAGAGATCGATCTACTTGACAAAATAAAATAATTTTTACTTACAAAAATAAAATTTTGTGATTACATTTTCAAATTTGAAACTTGTAAAAATATTTTTTATTAAGTAAAATATTTTAAATTAAGAAAATTTTCTCCTGGCAAGAAAGATAATTTTAATGATTCTTTCGTAAAATAATTTATGTAGTCCTGTAAATTAAGAAGAAGGAAACCGCAGGATGGAAAGACAGTAGGATGAAAGACAGAAGATGGGCTAACGTTGTTTATTACTTTTTGTATTCAAGGTATCTCGAATGAATTATTACAAGCAATAATATAATCAAAGATAATGAATAAAAAGCGATGAAACTAAACATTAGATGTTACACCTCATTCGTTATTGGTCACATTATCTCATTCTCGAATGATTGATTTTATTCGCATTTTATGGTTCTTTCTCTCTCTCTCTTTCTCTCGTTTTTCTCTCACACGGACACATACGCTCACACACACCCATGCTATTTCGTTCTCTCCCTCTCTCTTTCTCGTTCTCTCCATTTAATAATTTGTACTTCTCTATTGGCGCAATCTCTTGCCTCTCTAGTTTCTAAAAAACCGGTCGATTGCTTCACCAACGTCGACAGATTTGCGAGGTTTTACTATACGTTATCTTTACCACGATAATAATGTCGATGAAACGATGCGACCCGATTTTCATTTCAATATAAACAAAAAGGTGTAAAATATTTTGGATGCTGTGCAAAGATTACGGTTTGTTTCTGAGTCTTGACTACTTGTTCTTAAACGACAGACAGAATGGCGGGAAACGTCTTCCGTTTTCAACTGCAGGAAACGCATATTCTATAAATAGATTCTATAAATTAAGTGTATATTTTATAAATTAAGAAATGCATTTGTTAAATTGTTTTAATATATGAATTTTTAAATAGATAATCATTGAGTGAAATGTCTTAATTTTTTTAGAAGGTGTACATATGACTTTGGAGTTTATTTTGTAATTTTTCAAGCGCAACAAAATGGCGGCGTTACACTGTTTATGACTTAGCGAACTCCCGCCATTTTGAGGGATTTTTAAACGCAAAAAAGCTGAAGTTAGATATATGTATATCTTGTTTAAATAAGATTTAAATATTTCATATAGTAATTATAAATAGATAATAAATATATTTAAGTATAATATATTAATATATTTAATTATATTTATTTATAATTACTGCATGAAATATTTAAATCTTATTTAAACAAGATTATTATGTATTTATAAATAAATTAATTATTGGGGCCACCAGAAAAGTGCACCTCTTCATTATATTATTTTTTATGATGTTCATCAATGACTATTTTATCAAATTTAATTTATTTGACTGTTCAACAACAAAAAATATGAGATTTTTATAAATAAGAAGATAGATAAACCATCGAATCGCATCGTGACGCTCATAGCAATTGCAACGACTCTTTGTCGTCGACGTTAACGGGTTCGGCTCAATAAAATCTGGTTAATTAACAGTAAAATAAACGTATAGCCGTAATAATTCTCTTTTTACCACTCGATAATTATACACTTCTAATATAATGGTTACGTGGAAATATACAAAGTGTATAGAAAAAGGGAAAATAAAATTGTCTCCCTTTTTGACAATTAAAATGCTTCGGTTTTTCGTAAATACCTGAACTTATCGCGCCATAACTAGAACGCATGTAGACAATTTTAAGACGCAATTTTAACGTTTTTTAAATTAAACATGACTAGTATATTTTAGTCACTTCAGAAAATCTGTAGCTTACTTTTAGAAATTTATTTTTAAGGAAAATTTCTCTTTTTGCACAAATTTGCAAAACTTTATAAATTTTCAAACTTACAGATTTTTAAGTCTGATTCAAAATTGCAGAAAAATTGAGAAGCTCAAAACTGAAAAAATACAATTTTAACTTTTAAAGTTTCAAACATAAAATTTGTTATATCAAAAGTTAATTAATTTAAAATAATTTTTCAATAATTTTTGAATAATTACAACTAGAAATAAAAATTGTAAATTCGTGAAAGGCGTCTTAAAATCGACAAAGACAGATACTGTCGATACATTACTGTCACTCGTAATTATAATCAGGGCCCAGTAAAAACTATGGTTTTCAAAAAATTGTAAGAGGATGACTGTTCCTGTGAATTTGACCACATTTCAGCCCTGATTATAGTATACCTAGCGATAAACCAATAGTACGAAGACTTCGTTTCACGGATGTCGTACACATAACAATAAAACATTGCACTTGTATCGTTTCTTTTCGTGTCATCCTTTCTCGCGATTCTGTCACTCTTTCCCTTATTATTGCTGATCGACGCGGTGCAACGTTTCATCGCCGCCTATACAATAATACGCTATTCAATAAATTATCTTTCATATAGTTATAATACATTATCCGACGAGATAATATATTAGTGTTTCTCTCACAACGCAACGGGTTCCGATCATTTTTCTTTTTCCATATTTTCAGATTTCCGAATGTTCCGAAACGATCAGACTTCCCGTCGCGTTCGCCCGAAACATTCGTCGATGTAGTAACCAAATACGGCTTAAACTCTATCGATCGACCCGAGCGAACGAGAAATCGACCATTTTGTGGCTCACCCGGCCATCTTGTTTACACTGCTTTCTCGCGGAACCGTTTCTTCCGTTAATTACGGGGTGCAATTGCGATCGTGGAAGAGTAAAAAGGAAGTCAGTGGAAAAAGTCGGCTATGTTTTGTTCGCTCGAGCCGTTTCAGTGCAGTCAGTGTTTCACTGGTTTTCTTAACTTTTACGGTTTTTCTTAATTACGCTTAGAGTTATTTTGAACGCCTCGCAAGTTGCGGGAACCAATAGGATTCGACAACTTACGAGACGCTCTTTTTTAGCATTCTTTCTTCTTAGAATTCATGCATACGTCACTCGTTTTCAGACATACGGGGTTCACTCGCTTCGATCACACGCTAGAGTTCTATCTAATATCGCGTCCGTTCTTCCGTTTCCGTTAGTTCGAAGAAGGAATGCGATTTTTTGGATATCCTTGGGTTCCCTTCGATTTTCCTCGGAGAATTTAATACTTTGACGACCGGAATTATCGTTGGAAGTCATTGTGGATCTTGGAACCTGTGGATCAGTCACTCAGTTAGTAACTGAGCTTGGCTGGTCGACGGGTTGAGGAGCAAATTATGCAAATTATGGTAACGCGTGCTGTTTTGGGGTTGGGGGAGCGATGGGCGGATCGAGGGCACGGAAGAGGGTTTGTGGGCATTGCATGATACGAACTGTTATGAGCTGTTGAAGATTTATGCAAATTACTAGTTTTTTAAATTACGTTCAGAATTTAATGATTCTTTTAATGATAGATAAAAAATCAATTCATTCATTTAAATCTACATATAATAGATTTGAAAATTAAAAAATTTACAAGTTTAACCCCTTATCCTACAATATCGTGACACACTTGTGACGCACATTATACTTTAGATAGAAAAATCAAAATTATATTTGCAGTACGAAGGAGTTTGAATTGAACACTAATTCTAATTTGTATAATTAATTATAACCAAGTTGAAAACATCTAAGAGTTCAATTTTCCTTATTTGTCTTAACATTGCAGCAATAATTATTTAGATTTGATGCAACTGTTAAAGAAATCATAGGTTAAGGGGTTAAAGATGAGGCAATTTATAAACGTTTGAACTTTTGAATTTTCAAGGTAAGAAATTTGGAAAAGTATAAATTTAAAGATATGAAGGTTTCAGATCTAAAAATTAAGAAATCCTTTGTTTTCTTAATTTCAAATACAAGATGTGGAAATTTGGAAATGAAGACATTTGAAGATATAGAAATATTAATTTTTTAAATCAAGATTTTAAGATTGTGGAAGTTTGGAAGATGGAAATTTAGAAATACAGAAATGAAATTTCAAATTTCCAAAGTTCTTTGTTCTTTTAATTTTAAATTTCAAATTTGGAAACTTGGAAATGAAGAAATTTGTAAATATAAAAATTTCAAATTTCTTAATCAAAATTTTAAGATTGTGGAATTTTAAAAGGTGAAAATTTAGAAATACAGAAATATCAAATTTCAAATTTCCAAAGTTCTTTGTTTTCTTAATTTGAAATTTCAAATCTGGAAACTTGGAAATAAAGAAATTTGAAGATATAGAAATATCAAATTTCCTAATCAAGGATATCAGAATTGTAGAATTTTGAAAGGTGGAAATTTAAAAATACAGAAATGAAATTTCTAATTTCCAAAGTTCTTTGTCTTTTTAATTTTAAATTTTAAATTTAGAAATTTGAAGATATAGAAACATTAAATTTCTTAATCAAGAATATCAAGATGGTAGAATTTTGAAAGGTAGAAATTTAAAAATGCAGAAGTTTCAAATTTCCAAAGTTCCAAACTCCCACACAAAAATTTCAAACTTCCAATTTTCTTCGTATCTAAAAATTAAGAACTCTCGAAAGTTTAACTAAGAAATTAGATTTAAATAACATCAGTTAAATAAGAAATTACCCAAAAGTACCCTCACGTGCATTTGCCCATCACCGAGCTAAACTATAGTGAAACTCGAGCATCGATCGAGAGAAACAAATTCCAAAAATTTTAGTCAGTTAACGCGTTGCCTGCCTCGTACAATAAAACAATCATACTCCTAATATTTAATACTCGAAAGCTTGAAAATGATATTTCACCGCGTCAATGCGCGGCCATTTTGCAGCAACGCGTGAATGCACCGCCATTTTACAGCAACGCGTCAACGTGCACTTCACCGATGAAAAGTGTTATTCACTTTCGATATAAAAGTGTTGCGAGTTCTAAACCTTCTTAGCATAATCTACCCTCGATAAATTATACTAAAAACTCGCTAATCTCCGCTCAATTTCAGCGAGATGAAGCATGCTAAAAGCATGAAATTTTCCTGCTCTTAATAATCTTTTCCTTTATCTAACTACGAGCAGATCGTGGTTTCAGACTTGTACAAGTCT